GTAACAGACAGTACTCGAGTGTTCTCGGTGTAGAGTGTAACAGACAGTACTTGAGTGATCACGGTGTAGAGTGTAACAGACAGTACTCGAGTGTTCTCGGTGTTCTCGGTGTAGAGTGTAACAGACAGTACTCGAGTGTTCTCGGTGTAGAGTGTAACAGACAATACTTGAGTGTTCTCGGTGTAGAGTGTAACAGACAGTACTCGAGTGTTCTCGGTGTAGAGTGTAACAGACAGTACTTGAGTGTTCACGGTGTTCTCGGTGTAGAGTGTAACAGACAGGACTTGAGTGTTCTCGGTGTAGAGTGTAACAGACAGTACTCGAGTGTTCTCGGTGTAGAGTGTAACAGACAGTACTTGAGTGATCACGGTGTAGAGTGTAACAGACAGTACTCGAGTGTTCTCGGTGTTCTCGGTGTAGAGTGTAACAGACAATACTCGAGTGTTCACGGTGTAGAGTGTAACAGACAGTACTCGAGTGTTCACGGTGTAGTGTAACAGACAGTACTTGACAGGTACGTTGCTGTTTGGACCGGACCTGGCAGGACCGGAGAGGGTGAAGGCCTTGCTGGCAACTGTCAGTGATGACGTCAAAAAGGATTATGGCGAAGATTACCACAAACGTCTCGAAGGTTTCGTAAAAAATATCTACAAGGGTACAGTGAGTAGACACATCATGAAGTTATGCTTATATATGGTCCCAGTGATGCTGGAGTAAGCCATTCGCCCCGCACATCGCGAGTACTTGGGACTGGGGTTCGTATCACGGGCGGGAAGGTTTGACTAGGTGTCAATCCTTAACTGTACACCTCTGTTCATCCAGCAGACAATTGGTACCCGGTTGCTTAAAGATTTGGCAGGTCGCATTCAAGAAAATTTAAGATAGAAGACCTACCAGAATGCTAGGCGTTCTAGTTGCTTTAAAAGAATGCAACAACTCATATATATATATATATATATATATATATATATATATATATATATATATATATATATATATATATATATATATATATATATATATATATATATTATATATATATTATATATAATATATATATATATATATATATATATATATATATATATACAATCTTTGGACAACACCCACCAGTGGGACTCGAACCCAGAAAGCACAACTACCTTCCAGTAGCTGCCATAACTAGTACGCTTTAACCCACTACACCATCAGACCCTACAAAAGAAGTAGAGACTTCTAGATATATATACATCTCAAATATCTCCACTTCCCGAGGGCACCAGATAAGTGTGAGGTTAGTCTGCGTTTTTCATCAAGCCACTGTCAATGTGAGAGAACTCGTGTCCATGCTATAAGCCTATACTTGCATAAACCACAAGTGAAGATTAACAATCTTTGGACAACACCCACCAGTGGGACTCGAACCCAGAAAGCACAATAGAAAACACAATGCTTTCTGGGTTCGAGTCCCACTGGTGGGTGTTGTCCAAAGATTGTTAATCTTCACTTGTGGTTTATGCAAGTATAGGCTTATAGCATGGACACGAGTTCTCTCACATTGACAGTGGCTTGACGAAAAAAGCAGACTAACCTCACACTCATCTGGTGCCCTCGGGAAGTGGAGATGTTTGAGATGTATATATATCTCGAAGTCTCTACTTCTTTGTAGGGTCTGATGGTGTAGTGGGTTAAAGCGTACTAGTTATGGCAGCTACTGAAAGGTAGTTGTGCTTTCTGGGTTCGAGTCCCACTGGTGGGTGTTGTCCAAAGATTGTTAATCTTCACTTGTGGTTTATGAAAGTATAGGCATATATATGTTATATATATATATATATATATATATATATATATATATATATATAATATATATATATATATATATATATATATATATATATATATATATATATGTCGTACCTTGTAGCCAGAACGCACTCTCTGCCTACTATGCAAGGGCTGATTTGCCTAATAAGCCAATTTTTCATGTATTCATTGTTTTTCGAATACCTAACCTACCTAACCTAACCTAACTTTTTCAGCTACCTAACCTAACCTATAAAGATATGTTGGGTAGGTTAGGTAGGGTTGGTTAGGTTCGGTCATATATCTACGTTATTTTTAACTCTAATAAAAAAAAAATTGACCTCATACATAATGAAATGGGTAGCTTTATCATTTCATAAGAAAAAATTTAGAGAAAATATATTAATTCAGGAAAACTTGGCTTATTAGGCAAATTGGGCCTTGCATAGTAGGCCGAGAAGTGCGTTCTGGCTACTAGGTACGACATATATATATATATAACTCACACCCCAGAAGTGACTCGAACCCATACTGCCAGGAGCACTCTGCTGGTGTACAGGATCCCTTAACCGCTCGACCAACATGAGTTTTCAGTTGCATATAGTCCTAGGAACCATTCAGGCTTGTTCGCATTTGTGTTCCTCACGTGTGCCCCAAAGAATGAGGTGATTTGATAAAATACCATGCCCAAGATTATCAACAAGTGCCGGCGGGGGGATGGAAATAGCCTCGGTACCATCCTCTTTTGTCGGTCGTGTTGGTCGAGCGGTTAAGGGATCCTGTACGCCAGCAGAGTGCTCCTGGCAGTATGGGTTCGAGTCACTTCTGGGGTGTGAGTTTTCAGTTGCATATAGTCCTGGGGACCATTCAGGCTTGTCATATATATATATATATATATATATATATATATATATATATATATATATATATATATATATATATATATATATGCGAACAAGCCTGAATGGTCCCCAGGACTATATGCGAATGAAAACTCACACCCCAGAAGTGACTCGAACCCATACTCCCAGAAGCAACGCAACTGGTAACTACAGGGCGCCTTAATCCGCTTGACCATCACGGCCGTCAAAAGGAAGTGATAGCCGAGGCTATTTGAGCCACTCCCCGACGGCAACTAGTCGGGGAAGTGGCTCAAATAGCCTCGGCTATCACTTCCTTTTGACGGCCGTGATGGTCAAGCGGATTAAGGCGCCCTGTAGTTACCAGTTGCGTTGCTTCTGGGAGTATGGGTTCGAGTCACTTCTGGGGTGTGAGTTTTCATTCGCATATAGTCCTGGGGGACCATTCAGGCTTGTTCGCATTTGTGTTCCTCACGTGTGCCCCAAAGAATGAGGTGATTTGGTGAAATGCTATGCCCAAGATTACCATCCGAGTTGCCGTCGGGGAAGTGGCTCAAATAGCCTCGGCTATCACTTCCTTTTGACGGCCGTGATGGTCAAGCGGATTAAGGCGCTCTGTAGTTACCAGTTGCGTTGCTTCTGGGAGTATGGGTTCGAGTCACTTCTGGGGTGTGAGTTTTCATTCATATATATATATATATATATATATATATATATATATATATATATATATATATATATATATATATATATATATATATATATTAGTATATTTGGTAGCAGTCTTTCTGTAGACATATATTATTAAATATGACCGAAAAAGTAAGATTAATAATTCTAACACGAATTTTCTCAATCTTTCGTACATTTCTTTTCACTGTTGGAGGTAAATCGAAAATCAATTCTCCAAAATTCATTTTTATTTCTAGTCTGACGCGACACGAGCGCGTTTCGTAAAACTTATTACATTTTCAAAGACTTTAGTTTACAAATACACAACTGAATAGAACTTACGCATCTCCGATTTTATATCTACATTTGAGTGAGGTGGATGGGGTGAGGTGGCATTAATAGGGTATTAATTTCATCAACACCAAGACAGAACAAGAGGTGGCATTAATAGGGTATTAATTTCATCAACACAAGACAGAACAAGAGGTGGCATTAATAGGGTATTAATTTCATCAACACAAGACAGAACAAGAGGTGGCATTAATAGGGTATTAATTTCATCAACACAAGACAGAACAAGAGGTGGCATTAATAGGGTATTAATTTCATCAACACAAGACAGAACACGAAACAATGGGTATTGAATAGAAGTGTTTGTAGAAAGCCTATTGGTCCATATTTCTTGATGCTTCCATATTGGAGCGGAGTCTTGAGGTGGGTAGAATATAATTGTGCATTAATTGGCTGTTGATTGCTGGTGTTGACTTCTTGATGTGTAGTGCCTCGCAAACGTCAAGCCGCCTGCTATCGCTGTATCTATCGATGATTTCTGTGTTGTTTACTAGGATTTCTCTGGCGATGGTTTGGTTGTGGGAAGAGATTATATGTTCCTTAATGGAGCCCTGTTGCTTGTGCATCGTTAAACGCCTAGAAAGAGATGTTGTTGTCTTGCCTATATACTGGGTTTTTTGGAGCTTACAGTCCCCAAGAGGGCATTTGAAGGCATAGACGACGTTAGTCTCTTTTAAAGCGTTCTGTTTTGTGTCTGGAGAGTTTCTCATGAGTAGGCTGGCCGTTTTTCTGGTTTTATAGTAAATCGTCAGTTGTATCCTCTGATTTTTGTCTGTAGGGATAACGTTTCTATTAACAATATCTTTCAGGACCCTTTCCTCCGTTTTATGAGATGTGGAAAAGAATTTCCTGTAAAATAGTCTAATAGGGGGTATAGGTGTTGTGTTAGTTGTCTCTTCAGAGGTTGCATGGCGTTTCACTTTCCTTCTTATGATGTCTTCGATGAAACCATTGGAGAAGCCGTTGTTGACTAGGACCTGCCTTACCCTACAGAGTTCTTCAGAGTTGAAGAACTCTGTAGGGTAAGGCAGGTTTTGTTTTGTTGTTCCATTGTCTGTGGAGATATAAAGATTGTCTGGTTTGCCGACTCTAGAACACGCCACATATAATTGTCTCTATGAGAAGCATTCTGTGTCTAGATATAAACTGCACAATCCTAGAGATTGGCCCCGAGCTTTGTTGATGGTGATTGCAAACGCCAATCGAATTGGAAATTACAATATATTAAATTGAAATACCATATCAGTTAGAATCATAGAAATGCGAGGAATGAGGACATTTTCACCTTTCAAAGGTCCTGTCAAGATTATTGCTTCTATGGCGTTGCTGATAATTTATTTACTGCAAGGCGCATGGCGTTCCAAAGCTTTAGCTGGTTGATATTTCGCAACATGATAATTGGCACGCAGATTTTCAATTGCCGTACGTGTGATGGTATCCCAGGCAGATCGAGTGAATTAAAAAATTCTGTTGGATAACTAACCGCTTCATCTGCTTCCTCAACAGTGTCGACGGACTTGTATCAAGGAATTACAAATAAAATTTGTCTGAAATCTCCTGCAAGCAATATTAATGCGTTCCCAAATGGTCTGATGTTTCCATGCAAATCTTGCAATGATCGATGAAGAGCTTCAAGCGATTTTTTGTGGGCCATTGTGCATTCATCCCAAACGATAAGTTTACATTTCTGCAATACTTTTCCCATGCTGGATGCTTTGGAAATGTTGCTTGTGGGAGTTTAAATGAATTGCTTGTTCAATGGCAATTTCAAAGCCGAAGTAGCAGTTCTTCCACCTGGTAACAATGCCGCAGCTATTCCAGATGATGCAAGAGCTAAGGTTATGCCATTTTGGGATCGAAATGCTGCCAGAATCAATCTAATTAGGAAGGATTTACAGTTTCTTTTGGCGTGTCTAAGAAGATTTCTCCAAACCTGTTATTGACAGTTTGAATTATTTGATTGTAAATGCCTTTTCACTCAAGAGTTAGCTTAGGAATATTTGATTGCACATACAACAACAGATCACTCATGTTGTAATTTTGTTCATGATGCAATTCTTCTTCGAACAAAGCAGCAGCAAAGCAGCAGATCAATTCGGTGATGGCATTTCCAATTGATTTAGAACTTTGTTCGCGAATTTCTAAGCACAAATCTTCAATCATTATTAATGCTTTGTTGTAGATTTCTACTGTGAAATCCATGTTCATATTTGAATTTTCCTTCATATTCGACGGATAATATCTTCAGCCATGTGCGACTTATATTCTTCCCATAACACTGTTGGAGATGAAGGAGAGCCGGTGGTCAATATGATTGCAAACAATGCACGAATTTGATTTGGATGTGACGTGTTGGACGCGTCATTAATGCATACATCTCAGTGTCGGTCCATCTCCAATAAATTCCAACCTTGACATGCACTACGGAAAGTGGCATGTGTTACGCCGTTGATAAATCTCAATGTCTGGAAAGACGTTGGACCGAGCATATTTACAACAGCATGCGAAGAAAGAAGCATTCATCTTGATTGGGATGCACGGTGTACAGTCTGCCTATCGTAGTTTATTTGAATATGCCAGGTTGTCCGTCGACTCGCTCTCCTCATTAGCATCGTTCAAATGATTTTCTACTGGCATTCCATGTGTAATACGTAGGCACTTCCGAATACAGCAGTGTTATCGCAAACGCGTCATTTTGACATAACCTGAAGAAAGCAGTTAACATTGTAGCCGGTGGATTCATAGCTGTTTGTTGTACATTTGCAGCTGTGAAATAAACGTGTTGTCCATTATCTTGTTTTCAAAACAAAAACATAAAAAACTAACGAAATATTTCAATTCAAGCTCAGATCAATCGACACAGCTCAACTTCACCACCAATCGCACTGAAAAATAAGAAGAACAGTTAAAAAACGAAATAAAAAAACAATGAAAAACAAACAAATAAGCTATACCCACGAAATGTATGTTAAATAACACAGTTCAATTCCAACACAACGTCACAAAAAAAAAAAATTATATCAAAATGAAAATAGATCAAAATCTATGAAAATTCAATTTATCAATGCAGTCAGAAACATTTAAATGGAATCGTAACATATTTTCTACATCATGTGTTGTAGCTGTACCCGGCCACAGCAGCTCTTTTTCCAGTCTTCCAGTCCCCGCCACCCATTTCTCGCTTCCCTGTCCCCTCGTCCTCCCAACTATTTCTCACTCCTTCGTCCCTTTTTCCTCCCCCATTATCCCCCACTCCAGCATCCCCTCGTCCTTCTAACCATTCCCCATTAACCTGTTCCCTTGTCCTCCCCACCATTCCTCATCCCCCTCGTCCCCACTATCCCCAACTCCCCTATCCCCCTCGTCCCCCCACACCATTACCCTCCTCCCCTGTCCCCTCTTCCTCCCCACCATCCCCTACTCCCGTCACCTCGTCCTTCCCACCATTCCCCACTCTCTCGTCTGAGGATGAAATGATCTGATGTTCCCATCAGAAAATTGGGAAGATCAAATGATCTGGGGCTAGATTCACGAAAAACGTACACAAACACTTACGAACCTGTACATCTTTTCTCAATCTTTGGCGGCTTTGTTTGCAATTATAAAAAAGTTAATGAGTTCCGAAGCACCAGGAGGCTGTTTATAACAATAACAACAGCTAATTGGCAAATTTTCATGCTTGTAAACTGTTTAATAAATGTAACCAAAGCCATCAAAGATTGAGGAACGATGTACACGTTGTGTAACTGCTTCCTGAATCTGGCCCTAGATGTTCCCATCACTGAACTATAAGATGCCACCCCTGTTCAAAAAACTAAATGGAAAAAAAAAGAAAAAAAAAATATAAACTATACTCACGAAATGAACGGTATGGTAAACAACACAGCTCAATTCCAACACAATGTCACATAAAATAATTCACTAAAAAATAAAATAAATCGATATCTACGAAAAAAAATTAATTTATCAATGCAATCAGAAACATTGAAATGAAATTCGTGACATAATTAGTATATAGTGCATGTTCCTATTTTGTGTAACAGATGGCGCTGTTTTTCAAAAATGCATGTTTTTACCTGTCACAGGGGTGGCATCTAAATAGAAGATATATAAAAAGACGCGCCTGTTTGAATGCAACGTTGTGTCAAAATTTCAAGGCAATTGCTGAAGAACTTTTGGAGATTACTGTATGTGTTGCTCTTACAGCCAACAGATGGCACTGTTTTTCAAAAAACATGTTTTTTCCTGTCACAGGTGAGGCATGTATGTTGGTGTCTTTTATTGGTGCGGAGTCTTGAAGTGGGTAGAATATAGTTGTGCATTAATTGGCTGTTGATTGCTGGTGTTGACTTCTTAATGTGTAGTGCCTCGCAGATATCAAGCCGTCTGCTATCGCTGTATCTATCGATGATTTCCATAATTAATGCACAATTAATGCACAGCAATTGCACAGCCAATTAATGCACAACTATATTCTACCCACTTCAAGACTCCGCACCAATATAGAAGCATCAAGAAATATGGGCCAATAGGCCCTTTGCAGTTACTTCCATTCTTCCCTTTAACTTACAAAATATTATACCCATTGTTTCGTGTTCTGTCTTGTGTTGAAAATTTGTTTTCACCTCATCCAAAACTGTTGTAACATCACCTCTCCCAAATGCAGGTATAAAATCGAAGCTGTTTAAACTCTGTTCAGTTATAGTTGTGTGTGTGTGTAAACTAAAGTCTTTGAAAATGTAATAAGTTTTACAAAACGCGTTCAAGTGTCGCGTCAGACTAGAAATAAAAATGAATTTTTGGAGAATTGATTTTTCAGTTACCATCAACAGTGAAAAGAAATATAAGAAAGATTGAGAAAATTCGTATTAGAATTATTAATCTTACTTTTTCGGTCATATTTAATAATATATGTCTACAGGAAAGACTGCTATCAAAATATACTAATATATATATATATATATATATATATATATATATATATATATATATATATATATATATATAATGTACCACAAAACACCATACTTCCCTTTTTGGCCAGAGCCCTTGACCCCTTAGTAGCAATTTACTACTCAACTGATTCTGAGTCAGTAAGATGGCATAAGTCAACGCTAAACAGCAAAACATTTTAGTCTTTATATTAGTTCAGAATCAAATATACGTATAGTGTAAATACTCCAAGAAGCCGATCACACATCTCGGTGTTCCAGTTATATACAATTCTTGACCCTGACCAATCATGTTTTGGCATACATTGCCTTACCAACGATAGCTGAGTAACATTAATATGAAGTAATGAGCAGTAGTTCAATAACGGTGTCAGGGCAACAATGTTATGTGGTGTTAAGCATTAACGACTGTAAATTTATTTTCACAGGCTAAGGATATCAGTCCTGTGATTAACGCGTTCACAGAGGCGCTGACGCAGACCTTCCCGCAGGACCGCTACTGCCCCATGAGCGCCCAAACCTACATGGCAGTTTTCGTCAACACTCACTTCCCAGCCTGGGTCTACGACACGCTCTTCGGTGGCTAAATCGTTGTTGATTCTGCAAGAGCCATATTTGATCATGAAGAATCGCATTTGATCCTAAAGAAAACATAACTGATCTAACAGAGGTGAAGATAATTCACTTTGTAGTTCAATACTCCTGTGCATATGAGGAGTCACAATAACGTGGCTGAAATAAGTTGACCAAACCACACACTGGAAAGTGAAGAGACGACGACGTTTCGGTCAGTCCTAAACTGTTCTGAAGTCGATTGTGATCACAATCGACTTCAGAATGGTCCAGGACAGACCGAAACGTCGCCGTCTCTTCACTTTCTAGTGTGTGGATTTGGTCTTCAATATTCCTCTTACACTTCACAAATGCAGTTTGCCAAATCAAACACAAGATGGTTGAAAATCAATAAATCAGACGATTCAGCAGATTAATGAGAGATTGTGTTTTATTTGTACCTGCTTTATAAGTAAATTACATAGGTATATTGCTTACAACTGAACTTAGAACTTCAGAAAAATGAATGTGTCCTGAGTATCGGCCAGTTTTTAAGAATTTTATCACCGCTCTTCGGTAAAAATATCCTTTGGGTGTAGACAGTCTCAGACCACGAGGGAAGAATTGAAACAGAATTTTTTCCTGATTTAAAGTTAATCAGTTTTGACGTTTGTTCTTTGTTTACAAAGGCACCGGTTGATGATATTCTTGATTATCTTGCACGTGAACTAATGTATCATGTTTTACCTCTTTCTGCTAATATTGTTGTCAATCTTGTTAAGTTGTGCATTAAAGAATGTAAATTTACCTTTAATAATGAGTATTATTTACAGACTTTTGGAATGACAATGGGAAATCCTTTATCGCCATTGTTTTCAAGCTTTTACATGGAATTCTTCGAAAAGAAATTTGTTTCAAAAATTACCCCTGGAATCATTCCATAGTTTAGATATTTGGTGATATTTTATGTATATGCCTACAAATATAAACACTGACGAATTTGTAACCAAAATTAATGATCAAGTCACCTCATTAAAATTTACTATGGAGACTGAAATTGGTAAATGTTTGCCATTTCTAGATCCCACCAAACATTTTCGCGTGTTAAAAACGTCCTAAAAACGACATTTCATTGTTTTGGGCACGTTTTAAATTACTTCTAAAATACGTATTTTGAGAATTTGTAAAGACGACTTTAAAACGTGAGGTCAAAATGCGTTAATAAAACGTATTTTAAATGTCATGATATAACGTTTTGGGGCAAAGGTTTAATTTATTAGGTATAATTATCTTTATTGCATTTAGAAAGATAGAGACAGAGAGAAGAGAGAGAGCAGAAAGAGAGAGAAAAAGGAGAGAGGAGAGAGAAAGACAGAAGGAGAAGAGAGGGAGAAACAGAGAGAGAGAGAGAAGATGAAAGAAAGAAAGAAGCAGAAAAGGTGAGAAGAAGAGTGAGAGTGAAGAAGAGAAGGAAAGAGAAGAAGAAAAGAGAGATATAAGGAGAGAGAGAGAGAGAAAAGAGAGAAAAGAGAGAGGGAGAGGAGAGTGAAAGGAAAGAGAGAGAGAGAGAGAGAAGATAAAGAGAGACGAAAAGAGAGAGCAGAGAGAGAGAGAGAAGAAGGAGAGAGAGAGGGAGAAGATAGAGACAAAGGAGAGATAGAGAGAGAGGGAGAGGGAGAAGTGGAGAGGAAGGAGGGGGAGGAGGGAGTTCACCACGCCAGCATACAACCCACTCTCGCACAAGACAGCACATATATGACTTAATGCCTATAATATACCTATAATAGGTTAAGTAATAATTGTAATTACGAAGCAATAAGATGCTTATCTTAACATACTAAGAAGATTAGGCAAGGTCGGTGTTTTCTATGAAGCTTTTCAAGGTAAACTAGTATGTTTAGTATGTCACATATGCACGTATTTAGTAAGTCAATATTGACTATATGAAAGTGCGAGAACGGGTTGCAGAATTCGGCGTATCCCGGAACTGGCTAGAGGAAGAGACGACCGACAGTAAGGTGCTACGGAGGAGTGTAACTAGCTAGTTGCAAGAAGCTCCTGCCAAGGGTTCGCGAGGCAACAGGTACTCTGAGAGAGAACTCTATCAACATCAGAGGCCCGAGGCTGTTCAACACGCTTCTGCTACACATAAGGGGCATAACTGGCAATCCCCTCACAGTGTTCAAGAAAGAACTGGATAAGCACCTCCAAAGGATACCTGATCAACCAGGCTGTGACTCATACGTCAGGCTGCGAGCAGCCGCGTCCAACAGCCTGGTTGATCAGTCCAGCAACCAGGAGGCCTGGTCGACGGCTTTAAGCCCCGGAAGCACTTCAAGGTAACTTCATGGTAAGGTAACCCCTTGTATTTGTTCGTGTAGAGGCCCAGCAGCGCGAGGCTGATGTTCTCTGCCAGCACCAGGCTATCTTATCTTGAGGTTATCTTGAGATGATTTCGGGGCTTTAGTGTCCCCGCGGCCCGGTCCTAGACCAGGCCCCCACCCCCAGGAAGCAGCCCGTGACAGCTGACCAACTCCTAGGTACCTATTTACTGCTAGGTAACAGGGGCATTCAGGGTGAAAGAAACTTTGCCCATTTGTTTCTGCCTCGTGCGGGAATCGAACCCGCGCCACAGAATTACGAGTCCTGCGCACGGGCCGTTTAAATCTTGGGTAGTTCTCCAAAGCATCATATGATGCGATGCGCAATTTACTGCAATTCGGTCAAAGCATGATATGATGCGATGCGCAATTTACTGCAATTCGGTCAAAGCATCATATGATGCGATGCGCAATTTAAGGGTTAAACATTAGGTTTCAGCTTAGTAAATTTATAATGTGTAAATAATGGTGTGACGGTAAAGCGTTGGTGTTCGGCTGTTTCAAAAGCTGGGGGCAGGGCCTCGTCACATAACAAAAAAAAAAAGAGAAATTTGTCCTTTTGTCTGTGGTAAGGTAATGGGAAGACACACAAAACACAAAGTATATAAACAATGAAATTTTAATTACTCTATAAAACAAGACATGAATAAAGACAATCTCGTAAAATTCAAAACAGGTCAACAAACAAAACAACATGAATAATTACTGGCAATGAAAAGTTACTCTAAGACAAGAATGCAAGTTAAAATAAATCAAATAAGTGAGGTGCTGGGAATACTGGCTTCAAGCTGCCACCTCCCTTAGTACACGACAGCCAAGGCTTAGTCTACTAGCGAGAGATGTCAACTCCAAGGAGCACAGAGATATTCTGCGGAGTCGGCGTGCTGCTGACCCAGACGTCGACTCTTGTGGTGGCATGAGTGCAGGTGCGGCGAGACACCAGCCAATCAGCAACAGGCAGGCGGAGAATAAGTAGTTTGCTGGTTTACTGCGGGCTGTAGCCGGTGTGTCGGGTTGTGCATGGTACGATTTGCTTCCTGGGCAAAACGTTTGGCGATACTGGTGGACGTATCTTCAATATAGTATCTTGTACTTGAACGACGTAAATATGTAGGGAAGAGCAGGCTCAATCTCTCTTGAAAGAGATTGTCGTCACAATGGGGTTAGGCTATAATATATCTGTGTGGTGGTCTATTGACGACCGTAAATAATAATAATAATAAATATATAGCCTAATACCTGACAATCCTGCTTAATAAGGAGTATAATGTAATCAGGGTTAGTGATTGGTTAGTTGAGTTATAATAGATTATATAGGACCAGTAATTTAATTTGATGTACTGGACCATAAAATATTTATGAGTTTACACTGGTTCCTAAGAACCTGTTGTTTAAATTTGTTACGCTGATTCATCCGCTTGCGAAGAACCAAAAGATTTGGTTCTGAGAACCGATATAATTCTTGATATTAATTCTGTTTTTTTTTGTTGAACAAAGAACCTTTCGATCCTGGTTCGAAAGACATAAAGATGTGGGGGAGGATTTAGTTCTACAATAAAATTATATTAAATGCTTCGAATGACGAAAAATTAATGTTAAAGATCAGAGAACCAGTGGCTTATGGATCTCCAATAATAAATGCATATATGTAATTAAATATATTTAGAGAAATGAACTGTAATATTAATGATAATTCAGAACTAACTCTGCACACTCTACAACTTTGGGGGAAATTAACATGAAGTTAATACACTTTGGATAATAAGAAGTTAATACACTTTGGATAATAAGAAGTTAATACACTTTTGATAATAAAATAAATAATTAAAATAGTTAAATTCCAGTGAGAAGACAAGTCTATGAGTTAACTACAAGATATTACAGGAACAGAAACAGCTTTGCTGCCAGAAATTAACGCAGTTAACGTCCGGCAGCGTTAACCTGATTATTCCTGTCTGAGTCCCCAATGATACATGAACATGCAAGTAGAATCTTGTCCCTCTCGCAGTTAATTCCACACTGAAAGGCAAATCTGTGTAATTTCAAGATTTGAAACTCTATATTCCAAACTCCAAACTCTATATTCGTGCATTCAATTGCATAATCTAAAGAAATTGGAGAGTAAGATCAGCACTTACCAGGGATTATTTTATCTCCTGCTACGTAATGACAGGACACCAACAATGTGGTATAAAATATGGCCAAATTAAATACAAATGCGGTACTCTGTCTTTCCGAACGTGATGTTCGTAAATTGTGGAGGCTGTACACTCGATCAGACGCTCCATGAAGTACGGATGCTGTCTATTTTGATTGATTACTATCGTGCAGCTCTGGCACATCCAAACACCAGATTTCAAACATGGCGAGTCTTTCCTTCCTCCTCCATCCTGTGAAGCATGCGCATTCGCGCCTGTGCTGGAACTCTGGGTATAATTTTTAATATTTCAAACAGGGTTCCGAAAGGATGGAGACTTGGATGACGAATATTTACTTCATAATACGGGGTTTTATCAGACAGCAAATGATATTTCGGAGTGCAAGTCAATTAATTTAGATCACGTTAAACGCAGAAAAATATTAAGAGTGGAAATCAAGTTAATCATTTTATTTACCGGAAGAGCTGATCGAGACTGTATAAATTATTTCCAGTAAACGGCCATATACATTATTGAATGAAAGTAAATCTATTACTAATCGATTATCCTTAATAAAGAAAGGTAAATGAGATTAGATTCAATTCGATCTATTAATATGTAGAAATTATTCCTTCTAGCACTCAAGTAGGATGGCCAAATGCTGATGTTTGCATTGAGGCAAATGCTTTGTTTGCAGCCCTAACGGAAACTCACACCAAGGACTACCATGATGGTGAAATATAGATCTCAGAGTACAATATTTTCAGATGTGACAGGAAACACAGGCTACAGGGTGAGGTCAGCCTCTACATCAAAGACCCTCATCTGTACTGAGCTGCTAAACACCATAAATGATATGGTAGAAGTTCTGATAATCAAAATAGAGATCTTAAATGTAGTTATTGTCCTTATATATAAGTCAC